TGCCTTCTTTTCTCTAATGGGAATTAATCTGAGTTCAGACTTAATTGTGAGGATTTTCTGTTAACTAAGCAAGAAATCTTACAACACAACAATAAGGTGCCATTTCCCTGTCTCCAAATGGAGCGATATGCTGGCGCCTCATTTATATGCAATTTCCAGACCCCCCCCCCCGCCCAATTGCTGATGCTGCAGCTTTTAATGTATTTGCTCTGGGGTGGCGGTGGCAGCGCTTTTGCTGGGGAGGCACAGCCATGGGTGAGAGGCTGTGCCTGAGGTGGAAGCCTGGGACCCCTCTCTCCCCATCACTTGTGGGGCTGCGAGCAGTCAGAGCCCAACTGAATGAAGGGGCTGTGTGCTCCTCTGCTAGCCCTGAGAGGGCCCCAGTGGCGGAGAAGAAAGAAGGTGCTTCAGGGTGGCATTGCCCAAGGGCACAAAGGAAAGGGGGATAACAATTCATGGTGCCCCTGGTGCCAACATGCTTCACACCAAGCAAGCCAGGTCTCCTGCAAAACTCACGGGGCTACGAGTAACCCTTTAATTACTTTTGGAGGGCATCTTGGCGGCCACTTGCCACACACCTTCCTTTAGCCAAAATTCCTCTGTGTTGGGGGGGGGGCTTGACCAGGAAGAAGATGATAGTAGACCATTTCTCAGGGGAAGGATGGCTGCTACTTGGGGCACCATGCCAGGGGCAGTAAAGTTCTCCACATTGCTGGTGGTTTGGAACTGGAGGCCACAACCTTGGGGCCCAGAAAGCAGCCACCACATGGAGGAGGCTCCCTTCTGGATTGTGCTACAGCTATGGGCCCTTGAGGATCACTACGCCACAGCCGCCATCTCTGCCGGCCCCAGAGGGAGGAGAGGTCCGTCAGGCATGTGTCCTCCCAGGGTCTCCCCAGCCATCCTGTGAGCGCCTGATAAGCCCTGGCGAGGGAGGAGAATAGCGGGGCCTTGTCTATCAGCCCATTAAAGGCTATTCTTGCAAGCCCCCCCCCCTTCATTAATACTCTGGGTGAATAGACCACTGAATAAAGATCGGTGGAGGCCGCACAATTGTCAAATTGAAAGGTAACTGTCAACAGAAGGAACGGGGTTACAAAAGGGCCCATTTCAGTGCTTAGCAAATGGTTTTCGGCTTGTCATTTCAATAGGCTGTGTTTTTCAGAGATTGTGGTTTCCTGAATAGCATTTTATTACCCTGCTGCTGCTTTTGTTTTTTTAGCCCATGCTGTCTCTTTGCAGGCTCCATTTAGCTGGAGATGTGGGCTCCCTCCTTTTCAGGAAGGTTGCCCTCAACTGGCCCAAGGAGAAGACTACCCTGGGCTGGCGAGCAGGAGAAGGAGCAGGAGTGCGGCTGTGGCTGGGACCACTCCGCCTGCCAGCCAGGGAGCCACTCTAGCCCACCACTCAACTTGCATAACTATGCCATGACCATGCCAAGCACAGTTGTGGGGGAGGACCCATCACAGCAAGGGGTCTCTGGCATTGCCTACCTCTTGTTCTCTCTGCCCACTGTTGGCAAGGTCAGGCAAAAGGCTGGATCTGAAGCAGCCCAATCAGCCTCTCCCTCTTGGCCGCCTCTGCTTCCCGTCTCCAGGCCAAGAAGACTCGCCCAGTCCAGGATGACTGTTTGGCGAGGCCTCTAGAGAGCCCCAGGGTGGTGGGCACACTCAGCCTCCGCAGCCTCGGCCTCAGCGAAGAGCATCCAATCCACCATGTGGCTGCTGCTCCTGGCCTCCTGCCCTGCCTGGGACCAGAAGCAGCATTTCCAGACCATAGAGCAGGAGGACGGCCCCCTCCGAGTCGCAGAAGCATCTGGAAATCACGGAAACTATCCCAACTGGTGCTGGCAAAGAGGGAGGGAGGAGGCAAAACTTATTCCTACCAGCCCCTGGCCTGTTTTGCCAAGAGACCATTTCCTTGTATACAGATAACCCCTTATCTTAAATGACCAGCTCCCTTCCCATTTGTAGTTAACTGTGGGCCCATTTTCTTTCTGCGATGTTATCCCAGCAAGATGAGAAAGGCATGACTCTAACACCCCCGGGATCTTCCGATATCAGCATCCAACGGTCTGACCTGTCCCAAAAGTGGCCCTCCCCTTTCTCTTGGAAGGCTCCACCCTTCTCAGAGCCTGCTCCAAAGGCAAGCCCACCTCCGCTGGTGCCGATGGCCACCAGCCCACCCATGGAATGCAGGGACCCCAGCAGGGACCCCCTCCCTCCCTCCCTCCCTTGCCTGGCCGTGGCTTTCCCTGTGCAACTGCTGGCTGGGAAGGTCTGCTCTTCACCCAGCTTTCCTACCCACCATATGCTTTTCAGGTCTCTGTTTCTGGGCAGACTCGCCAGGCCTCTGGGGCATCAAGGGACAGCCTGCCTGGTTCTGCATGGGCCATACACATCGCCCTCCCCGCTGTCTGGGGTCAGAAACGGGCTGGCTGGGGCCATGCCGCTGAAAATAAGTGCCTGAGGCTGAACAACCAGATTTCCGACACCATCTCTATGGCCTTGCCAAGACTTCAGGGACAGAGCGAGGCCTCTCCTGTGCAGGGCTGGCATATCAGACCTGGTCAGGAGGCTGGAAACCCAAGGATGCCTTTCCCTGTCCAGCTGTAAGGGATCTCTGGGTCAGGGGCTGTCTGGGGCGAGGGCTGCCATCAGAGCCGAGTTTCATGCTTCCTAAGCACGGAAGCCGCTTCAGACGTGGTCCAGAATTGCCAGGCCAGGCTGTCCGAAAGGGTTAATCCTGGAAGAGTGCTGGCAGCAGGCAGGGAAGAGGGGAGGGGGAAGCAAACTCTACCTGGGGAATTGGGCATGAATATGTTTCACCTTTTGCAGAGCCCCCTCCCCCCGCCTCAGAGGATAACTGACCTTTGGAGGAAAATAATGAAAAGAAGAAATCCCTTAGAGAAAATCTTGTGGCTGGGCCTCTGAAACGAGATCTGCTCCTGTAGGTTGCCATGGCAACCACAGTCATTTTATGATATGAAATCCATGAATGGAGAAGCCCCCCCCCCCGAAACTCAGTGGGGCCAGGAGCTGGGGACCCCCATTCTACCTTGCTTGGGACAGCATCAGCTTCCCCTGGTGCTTGGGACTCCCTCCTGGCTCCTCGGAGGCACCATTCGGGAGTGGTCCCGGGATGCCAAAGAGGACCCTGGCCCTGTTGGGAGGGAAGATCAAAGAGTGTGGGTAGAAGAAAGGCAAAGAACAAATGGCTCCCCCGGCCTTGGCTCTTCCTCCCTTTGGGATGGGGCGGGGGGGGGTGTCAGCCACCACCCCTGTTTGTTCAGGGGGGCCTCGGTGCCCCTAAGTTCAGAGGAGAGCAAGAGAATGGTGGGGGCTGCCATGGTTCACCTGCCCAGCTCCGCTTTCTGTGATGATGGTCCTACTTTGCTCCCCTTCTGATCCCTTCTGCCAACAGGGAAGGCCAGAGCAGGGCTTCTCCTTTTCAGGGCGGATGGGCGCCATCTTGACAGACCCCAAGGAGACACCCACAAACTCCTTAAGATGACGGGCAGCAAAGAACTGGAGCTGAGAGCAAAGGAACAGGCTTGGAAGGGGAGGCCTCATGGAGGGGCCCCTCCCTCTTTGCCTAATCAATTAACTTTGGGTCAAATTAGAAGGGTTAGAAAAATGAGCCGTAAAGAGAGGGTTTGGGAACAGGGGCTGTAATAAGAAGCAATATTGATTACTGCCATGGAACCTTATAAATCATTCATGTTCTCTACCAATCTTCCCATCTGATTTCCCCGAAGCTGTTTGCCTCGGAGATGCAATTAAAATTAAAATGTTGAGCCGGCCATCATAGAGAAGACGGAAGGCTCGCAGATGGCAAAGCTGGGCCTCCAAGCATGATGGCCAGCCTCAGCGAGACATAACCTGGCCTGTTGTTTTCGCCTCTTGTGTTTAAAAAGAGAGAACCTCTCCAGGCTCTCCTTCCCTCTTCCACTCCCTTCCCTGAGACAAAAGGTGCCTGCTCACCCAAGGCAGGCAGGGCCAAATGGGCTTCTGGCAGCTGGCTAAACAAGAAAAAAGGCCAGGCTTGGTAACTACTTCTGAGAAGATTTGAGATGGGGCCTGATGTTTCTTGGAGGCCTCATAGCAGGACAGCCTCTCTTGATTAGTAGAAGATCAAATGCCTCCGAAATAGGAGCTCCACTGCAGTTAAATGTCTCAGGCACAGTCGGAAGCCGCTTGGACTGGAGTTTGGGCCTTTGGCCTCTGTGCCCAGAATAGCCTCAAACTGGCACAAGGGCTCAAGCTGCCTGGCGCAGAAGAGGATGTTTCCCCAAGCCCTCTAGCCGGCCCTCAGTGGAAGTGCCAAGGTTTTTGACTGCTGGGTCTTCTGAAAGCAAAGGGGATGTCCCAGCCACCAAGGAATGGATTGTCCTGGCTCAGATCCAGTGTTGGAGGCCGGGGCTGATGTGCCCTTGAGAGAGGATGAGGAAGCCCTTGGAGATAAGGCACCACCAGAGGAGAGAGCTGGTTGTGGAGGAACAGGCCAGGGGAGGAAGAGGTGGATTTGCTAGGTTAGCCAGCCCAAAGGCCATGCGGCAGCAGCGCCTTTACTCATGTTCTGGGGTCCCCCTTCCCATCCCATTAAACGCCTGGCTAATCAGCCACGCAAAAGGGGTTCTGTACATGGAAGCAAGAATTAACTTCCACTGCAACTCCAGCGTTAGCCATGGCTACGAGAGAGAATCCTAATTTATGGTAATTGCTGCTTGTGAGCCCACTTCAAAATAGACCTGCCTGATTCTGTGCATTCTCCCCCCAAGATTCCAGTTTAGCTCAAATCAGGGTGATTTAAGCTTTCAGCTCCTGGAACAGGGCAGCATGGATTGCCAAGTAATTTGTACCGGACTAACACCCTTAATTAATAGCAAACTAATTAGCAGCCATTGACTCAGGCAACACCCTTCCCTTCCCTGCTCAGAGGGGAAGAGTGTCTCCTGGGGCGCAGCTAGAAAATAAAGAATGGCCTAGGCACACACACACCTGGTCTGAAGATGGGGGTTGAAAAAGAGTCTGCAGACAGTGGCAATCCCGAGAACTCAGCACTGGAACAGCCCTGCTCGAAGAAGGTCTGTATTCCTCTTGATTCCTCAGTTGCCCCCTTCGGTCCTCCGCGTAGGTGGTGGGACTGTAACTGGCTCACTCAAGGCAAGGGGCTCTGCTCTGGGATGGTGAAGCACAGCTGGGGGTGGGGCTTGGGTGAAGGTTTTGCCCAGAATCTGTCCTGTCCACCCTGCGGGATAAAGTCCAGCGCAGACTCAGGGAGGGGAGAGGCTTGCTGGAGTCTGATGCTTTTAATTATGGGCTGCTTTGATGCTCGGTGCAATGGTTCTGACTTTTCCAGCAGATGGGTGGGAGTTAAATGGGCAGGAAAAAGGATCTTGCGCTCCCCCACCCACTCACTCCCGGCCTGGCTGAACTTGTTTTTCCAGTTCATGGAAGCTGCTGTGGGCCTGACCTCCCTCCCCCCCTCCCCCTGCAAACAGCTCCCCTTTGGAGGCTGCAGCTGCCCAGGAAATGGAGGAGGCGGTGCCACTCCGATTGCTGCGAAGCTGAGCTGAGTCGAGTCGGGGCACAGCAAGGCCCAGGAGAGAATGAGCGTCTGGATGGGAACTGTTGAACTGGCTGGTTGGACTCTTCTTGGCCAGTGAAGAAACAGACAGAACCCCAAAGAATGGGAACTTTGGCCAAGGATCTCAAAGAGGCCCCAATTCTTTCCTGAAAGAACGGTCACTCGGAGCAAGGAGGGCCATCTGGACATCATGGGACTCCAGGGGTCTTAACAGCCCACCTCTAGTCCAAATGGGATAAAGGAAGGAATGTCTCCTGCTTGGGTTTCAGCAGCTGAGAAAGAAGGTCCTGCCTCATCGCAAGGAAGCTGCCGGCTGTCAGAGGCGAAGCGGCTGGTAGGGCTTTAAATAAAGTTCCCAGCACTCTGGAGCAGGGTGGGACAGGATTGCTACCACAAGCTGCTATTGCTGGGAACAACAAAGCCCAGAGGTCCTGCAGCCAGCAGAGTTCCAATTGGGAGACCCGTGGGGGGACCCCGAGACTCTTATCAGCAGTGCCCCCCCCCAGCCCAAGATATTGATTTGGAGTGTCTTGCAGATGAAGTGCATCCAGCCTGGATTATTTGAATGTCTCCTTTTCCCCTTGCCCACTGCCAGTCTGGAAGGGAGCAATGACGCTGCAAAAGATCCTTTTGCTGAATGCCAGAAAATGGAGGCTAGGCTTCTCTCACCCCTGGGGACCTCCAGCATCCTAGCCCTCCACCTCCCCCGTTCAGCCCAGCCCAAGCAATCTGCCCTCCCCTGGCCAGTCTGGGCTGATTTGTCCAGAGCTGCCTACTTTTGCAGGGGGCTTTCAAGAGATGCTTTCAACAGGGCAACAGAGTGCCCTCCCACTTGCCAGAGGGTTTGGTTCACAAGCCATGCTGCATCAGTGGCAGGAGGGGGCAAGTGGCGATCCGCCCCAGCTGCAATGTGCCACAGTCACGTTCCTCTTGAGAGGGAGAGCCAGTGGAGGTGCTTGGGTCATTCTTTCCCCCAAGGGTGGCAGTTCCCCTTCTGCAGGCTTCACCCCAACAGAAGCGGCCAGAGCAGGAAGCTCCCACCGTACCTCAGCCTGGATCCTTCTGCTGCCAGGATCAACCCTTTTCCCAGCTCCAGAAGTAGAAATACTGGAAATGAGGGGAAGAGGGAGTGGAATTCCCTGGCCACTCGGGCTCCCATAGTGGGAAAGCCCTATCCCTGGCCTGCCTTACCAGCTGGGGTGATGCTGTTTGTCCCAGGAGCCCCAGCTTGGTCAGTCAGCCAGGCAATCCAGAGCTGTTGCTGGAGCAGCAATCCCTGCCTTCCTGGCAGGCTGCTGGAAGTGTGCAGCCAGTGCATCCCTCTCCCTCAAATGCGAGGCGGCAGGCCCATTTCTCGCTTGCCTGCCACTATCACCGAGGAGGCACTAACGGTTTCCGACAGAGCCATTTGCAGGTTTGGCAGCTCCAGCACCCACCCTGGAAAGTTTATTTACTCCGGCTGAGCTGACAAGCGACGACTTCTCCAATCATGACTGCCCAAACTATTTGTGCAGGAAGACATGGGGACCGGCACCCACGGAGGGGACAACTCTGGCAAATGGCCTTAAGGAGCAGGCGAGTCTCCTTCTGTCCCCAAAGACAAGGTGTCGGTCTCAATCGGCCTGGGCAGAGGGCTGCCGTCATTTGGGCTGGCCTGCCCGGAGTACCAGACGCCCTCGAAGCGATGGCTTCCTCCTGGGTTCCAGCAAAAGTGGCCCAAGCAGATATTGGAATGCAAGCGGGAGAGCGGGAGCACTGGCTGCCAGCCACGTGGAGACCGTCCGGCTCTTTGTGCCATCCTGTGGAGTGGAAGAAGATTGCAGGTTGTGGACCCGTGCTTGCAGCTGGCACAAGTTCTGGTGTGCAAAGCAAAGGGTTTTTCTTGTGCACGTGTCCCGCAGAATCTCCGGAGAAGGCCAATGTTGTCTGTGGAAGCCTAGCTGGGTCTGATGAATCAGCTGGGTTAGTTTCAGCTAGCGTTTTCTATCCTTGAAAATGTTGGCCAGCTTCAGAGTTACACTCAGTCCTGGGGATCGAGGCCTCCTAGCCACGAGATTCCCTCTGGAGGCCATCGGCGGGGAGGAGTGGGCTTCCTCGGGCAGCTGGTTGGCCACCATGAGAACAGACTGCTGGACTAGATGGGTCAGGAGTCCAATCCAGCAAGGCATGACTTTGGTTCTTCACAGGAGCACAGGTGAGAGCTGGTGTTTAGGCTGCTGCTTATCTGGCTACGTTAAGACTTTCTCCTCTTCCCACAGTTTGCAAACTTTTAAAAAAATAATCTCATCATTTCAACAAGTGTAACAACTAAATTATCATCTTTACATGATTAAAGTCTGTGCAGTGTCTTTTCTTGGCAAACATTACATGCCCATAATTTTACTAAATGTAATAAACCAACCATAGAACTATTAATTTTACCATGGTATTCATAACAATTAGAAACGCGTGAACCTTAAAATGATGAAAACTGAACTGAATGCTAAAATAGTCGTGACTGCAGAGACCCCCCTCCTGCTGATGCCCTGCTCAGAAAGCAGCTGCAAAGAGGCCACAGACAGAGCTCTGCTCTTCTGGTGCCCCAGGGATGCTCCCCCCAGCTAGGAGAAGGGGGGCTTCCATTTGTCCATCTCTTCGGCCAATTTAAACAGCCACCCATCTCAAAGCAGAGACTGGTAAACAATCACAAAAACACTTAAAACTCAAACTAAAAAGAAATAGCAGCCAAGAGATATTACAGTCCATCGGTGTCAGCATTATCAGGCAAGGGGCCTTTTTCTCTTCCCCTCTCAGTCTCTCCAGTCAAACTGTCCCATCCAAACAGAAATCCCCTCTTGGGGTGGATATGCTAAAGGAGACGAGGCTGGGCTGAGTCGCTTGCTGACCGCCCAGTTATGCGTCTCCCTTGGAGCCAGACCAACTCTTTGGAGGACTTTGCATGCAAAGACTGGTGTGATCATTGCAACTTTTCCCCTGTCCAGGTGGGCAATTCCTTCACTAGGTCAAGGCAAGGGGTATCAGGGCCACAATTTCACCGCTCCTGATAATCATTTTGCCGCAATTTCTCATCCAGCAGCAGCTCCATTTTGTTCCCTGGAAGTATCTGAGCAGGCAGTTTGCAAGTGGAAAGTCTAGACCACAATTCCTGGGTGGAAGCAGCCTGGGGTGCTTTGCACTGAGAAAGGAAGGAGGAGACCCCACTTGGGCCAAAGCTGGGAGTTAAAGCATTTATGCGGTGAAAAGAAAACTGGGTGCAGAAGCGAAGGAGCGCCTTGGCCAGTGAGTGCAGGGATGCTGAAATGACCTTCTCAGTTGACCTTCTTTCCAGGCAGGAAATCACTGCTTTGGTGGGCCTTGTAGGAGGTGAGAAGACAGCTCTCCATGCCATGAATTCTTCTGGAGTGGACGTGCCCCCTCTGTGTCACTCAGGAAGGAGCAGCGGTGATTAATGGTGGGGGTTCCCAACCCAGCGAACTGCCATTAGAGGCTGGGCGCTGGGAACAGCAGGGGTAATTAAACCACTTGTTTAATTGAAAGGGGTTTGATTTATGGGGCCATAAACTCTTGCCTTCCCATTTTCTAGCCAGGGCCTGGGGTGCAGGCAATCACCTAATGGATGCTCACGACCACTTGGGGGTTGGAGGAGCTTAGCCAGGCTCCATCCCATCCTTCATGCCACATCACAACCTCCCTTCCTTTGCCTTTGACCTGCATCCGGCCCATCTGGAGAAGCTGGAAAAGCCACCACAGGCCCAGAAAGCATCCTTTGCAGCCTGCCCAAGTCTTTCCCTTGGACCGACACAGGCAGAGCCCTGGATGCAGAATTCCTCACAGGAGAATAAAAGGTGCCTGAATGCAAAAGTCTTCCTGGAGTCTTGCAACGGTCCTTGCAGTGTGGATGCCAGGGCTGGGATCAGGTTTCCTGTCCTTGCAATGTGGGACGCCAGGGCTCCTGTGCCCTTTGGCAAAGGGCTGCCTTTCCTCATGTGGTGCAGCTGCTCTCTGGGGGTGGCAGGGGAGAGATCCACCCAAGGAAGGCCAGTAAGTTGACCCAGAGTTGGGCAGCCTGGAAAACTCCCCCAAGAGCTGTTATAATGCAAAGCCCGCAACCCCCCAGGAGGGGGGCTCAGGATCGAGTCAGGGTAAAGCTAGAGTGGGCGGGCACAGACCCCCTAGAGACACTCAGGTCAGCCAATGGAAGGGGAGCAATTTGCTTCTCAGAGGATGCCAACCTTGGCCCAGTGGGCCAGCGAGATGCTGCTCAGTCCTACATCTCTTCAGTGAGAGGCCCCCTCGTCCAGATCTCTTAATCCCAAGGATTAAGAGGGACCTGCAGCAGAGAGGGACCACCTGACTTCCACCTCTGTCCCAAGGAGTCCCCTGCTTCTCCTCCTCCTCCTCCTCCTCCTCCTCCTCCTCCTCCTCCTCCTCCTCCTCCTCCTCCTCCTCCTCCTCCTGCCATTGTCCTTAAGATACTCCTCTCGAAGGAATGCAATTAACAACTGACTGTGAAAGGAACAGTTCTGCTCCCACACAGGGAAAATCAATTCTTTGCTTCCAGAGATATAGATAATCATATTCTGCTGCCTCTTCCATGCTGCCTGTCGCTCTTAGGGAAGTCCAAAGGAGCCTTAAGGAAGGACACCAGCCAAATCAACAGGGCTTAGCTGCTCAAACCAGGGCCAGGCAGCAAGCGTGAGACCAGGAACAAAGCTACGTCCTGCGTCCCCCTCCTACCCCCCTGAATTTTCCACTACTCTCTCCCTGGGAAGCCTGGCTGTTGCATCTCGTGGGAGGCCATCCTGTCCACCCATCCTTGAGGGCACCAAGATGGCTG